AGCATCATATTTTCCTTAGCATTTTTCATAACTCACATTCATTCATTTTGCGTGCATAAGGGTTCGGCTCATCATACTAATCAATATCAATTTCAAATTCCTTACTCGAATACGCGCTTTGTCGCATGCCTTGAATTGACTCACATGCCATGCTAGTAGCGGAGCCTATTAATTGCATGTTATATGCGTCGCATTAGTCATGTTGCATTGTTTAGGATCATGCATTTTTTCTAACTATTTTCTTTCATTTGGCTCGCTTTGGACACTTGGGATAAGCATTTTTTCGCTTTAGCATATTGCATGCGTGCAATTGTTGGCATGTTGAGCATATTTACCAGCAGGCTAAGTGCTTAATTGATATACCTCTTGAATGCCTGTAGACGGAGGCTAGTTCGCTTAAGTTAGTATAATTTGATTAATGTAAATGTGAGCTTACTTTTTCAAGAAGCACATATTCAAAACAATTTTCAAATAAACATAAAATCAAAGCATTCCAAAAAAGGCGAAATAGTCTATACTTGTGTGCCTTACATAGTAAGATAGCCTAATAATCGGAACAAGAGCATATACTATACATAAGAATCATATCATGATTAGTAGAGGCGGATCTTTGATTGGATAAGTCGGGTGCTCAATTGATGACCTTCCCCTCTTATACTTAAGTTCCCAAGCCAAGATACTTTAGTGATGACAGACAAGTGACTTTTGGCATGGGTCATGGGTTTCCTAAATTTTCCAAAAATATTTAGGCGGTGACTCTGAAATCTGACAATGCAGTCTATTTTTGGCATTTTTTGATTAAAAATCGATTTTCCAAATATTTGTCGGATTTAGACTCTTTTGTGTTTTTCTGTTTCATATTGCACTTGTGGAACTAGATTCAAAACCACGGGAGTCCAAACTGTAGGGCTATCATATCCGAAGAGACTAAACCCCTCTGAAGAGCACGAAAAACCAGTTACAATGTGAACCTTCACATTCGTATGTTCTAGTGTGAACATTCATATCATGTTTGTATTCAAAATGAAAGTTGAGGCTTGTGGTTGTGTAATTTGATGCAACACTGATGTGAACTTTAACATCATCTTGTCATGGTGGTAAAGAACACAATGAAAACATATTTATCATTCAATGTTATATTAAATTTGTGTGTGAATATTAATACCGATTGACTACACAATAACAATTTTCCATTTTAAATTAATGTGAATATTAATACTGGTTAATGATGTGATGATATTTACAAAAAATCAAAAACAGTGTGATGATGTTTACAAAAAATTAGAAACAACGGTAGCAACATAACCAGAAATCCAAAAAATCTTGATCTCTCCAAAAATAAAAAACCATCACTCACATTCCTATCTTCATCATCATCATTATCATCTTCATCTTTATCTTTATCATTATCACTGTCATTAACAATCCATACAATTCCATTATTACAGTAATTCAAATTAAACCAAACCTACCTTTGATGAACAAGTCTGTAACAAAATTAAGTTAATACAATATCGAGCTTCAAATCATTCTCTCTCCTTTTGATTCACATCCTTCTCTCTATCTTTGATCTCTAGCTGAAATCGCAACTATGACAGAAACAGAACTTTGAAATGTTCTCTTTCCGTTTGATCTCAACCAATGTGTAAGAAAAAACCTACCACAATCGTAATGTTCCTGCAGTATTTGACTACAAGAAAACAGAGTTTCAACCTGCAACAATGGAAGAACACAAAGCTTCAAATGCAAAGCAACAATGGACGAATATAAAGTTTCGAACACAAAACACCAATGGAAGAATACAAAACTTCACTGCAACAATGGAGGAACACACTAAATAAGAACTTTGAAACCCTATCAAATAGAGATTCGAAACGTATCAACCCAATTCCTATAAAATCGGTGATCACCAAAACTGCTTTTAACAAACTATAGAAATGTGAATGGTACAACTATTGATAATTGGTATTACCAAAATATAACAAAGGGTGTAATAGTCCCAAAAAATTACAAATAAAGAAAAAAATGATCTCTTAGTATAAAACTCTATAAGTATATAGGATTTGATGGAACATAAGAATATTTTATGGACTTATTGAGGTAGAAGTCTACTAGATAAGATTTATAAATAAATAATAATCACATAAATAGTGGCAAAACACATTACACAAATAAGTACCTTTATATAGAGAGGAAATAATTTTTTAAATAGCTAGAATATATTGAAGTCCTAGAAAGTCAATGAGGTAGAGAATATTCCTTGTGACATCAAAATTAATAGAAAGTATGGAATGGTTTAGTCTGTGTAATTTGGTTTTTTGAGTTTTAATTAGTAACAGAACTGTAATTAATGGTTCTTAATTTATTAGAATTAGAACCAACCATCCCCTAAAAGAATCCAACTGTTTAATGGTTCAACCGATTTAATTGAATATTTATATTTTTTATCAATAAGTATTAAGTGTAACAATCAAAATATGTTACGTGATGTCAAACAATAAAATATCTCAATTGAAATTAAGTGGACATCACTCTCTTTCACTAATTCAATCTTATAATCCCTAGAATCACACTATAATATATATATATATATATATTTTAATAATACAGTTATGTATTTTTATTGTTATACTTAATATTTACTTTTAAAATAAAGTATACAACATTGCATTTGCAATAATTTAAATTGAGGGCACCTAGAAATAAATAGAAAAAAATAAAGGGTCACTTATGGAATTTTAATTGCATTGCACTTATATATTATTTCAAATATATAATCAGATGATTTCCAACTGTTTCAGTTCTTTATCAAATCAATTTGATTTATACGAGAGGTAAATATTAGATTTTTTTTTTAAAATTTTAAAAAATCAAAGAAATATGTATACTTTTTATTTACTAGACTAGATCGTATCAATTAACAAAATGATTTCAAAATACTTCTTTCAGAACTATTATATAAAAATGATCTTCAGTTAAAAATGTATCGAAGTTAACCTCTCTTCGTCTTTTTTTTTCTTTTTCTTTTTTTTATGCTCATCTTGGCTGCTCAACAAAATTTCTAGTTCCATCCTTGCTGGTTACTACACAACTTGAAAATCATGGAATGAAATAATGATTTGTGTGAGTTGAAAACTAGAGCTTTGGGCTCAATTTTGCAAGTTTTGATTAAATGCGTGAGTTGTCCTTTTCCATTGGCTTTGAAATTGATGAATTGCATTGAAAATCCATCTCCATATGTATTGCATCATGGTCACACGTCTCAGAATTTCATATTGAGCATGTTAGTGACATACGTCTACTAAGTTTCTTGGTCCCTACTGTTGTATAAAAATTTCAAGTACTAGTGGTTATACAAAGCCATTAGAAGACTAGAGATGTTTTTGCAACACATTTGTCGCTGTCGAGCCATTCTTTTATATAAGACCTTGGGCCATTAATTTCAATGTAAAATTGTTTGTTGCGTCAACTATTGGTGAGAGAGAGACAATGGTCTATTTTATCATAAACCCGTAAAGGCATAACTTATCAACCCTATAAACATAACTCACACATGGGCATTTCACTTAATATATGAAAAACTAATGAGATTATGTTATAAGATTACAAGAGAATGAAACGAATTAGATACGGGATTGCATATCATTTTTTGGGGGGTTACAAGATTACTTTGTCATTAAGAATAGGCGACATGCATTACTTATTCATTTTCGATAATTCGTGCTATTGGGCTAGTTGCGAGTTGATTGATCCACTTTGACCATTGTTATTAATTTTTCAAGCTTTGGATCTTTGACTTTGTGAACTCCATTTTTTTTTCTTCTTGTTGGATCAGCAAAGAGAATTTATATTAGATGAGAAGAAAGATACAAAAAGTGTGATTTTGAAAGCAGTGGATGGAATCAATCTCCAAAACCCCAACAAAACCAACACACATGAGTTGGCAAGGAGCCAACAACAAACACCAAGAACCAAGAACCAAGAACTAAAACATTAAAATCTTTGTAAATCTTTGACTCATTGAGCATACATCCATTTTCACTCTATTTACAAAATTTAGGGCGTGACAATTGAAGTCATTGGACCTTACTAGATTTGATAAATAAGTAAAGTGAATCATTTAAAGTAATCAAACTAAACTTGATTTAACAAACAAAAAATGTGGATCATTCAAATTTATTGAACTTGATAGGATTTGATATACAAGAAAATTTTAGCATCTAAAGTTTAACGAACTTAGCCTGATCATTTGACATATAAAAAAAATGGAGTGTTTCAAAATTATCGAACTTAACTTAGATTTGACTAATATGTGAAGTGCAACATTTGAAGTTAACTGACTTAATTTGGATTTGATAGACATCTAAAGTGAATCATTGGAACTGTTTGATTTGGTTCTATTCAATCCTTTTATTCTTGCATTGATAAACAAAGATATATTAGTGTATGGACAAAATTGTAAGTAAATGCTCTCTCTCTCTCTCTCTCTCTCTCACGCGCACACACACACTCATATTCAGGTCTCGTTTGGAACCAGCCCGTTTAGTCAAAAAGTTAAAAAGTTACTAAAAAAGTCAAAAAGTCAATAACCCATACCAAAAAGTCAAAGATTTTCTTTTCTCTCTACTTTTTGCACATCTTTTTGTAAAAAACCAAAAAGTCACCCCAAACATACTGATTTTTTTTAGCTCATATGTTAGCCAAATAGTCAAAAAATTACTAAATTAGCATGTTCCCAAACGAGGTCTCAATTTTAATTGTTTCTTCTAACTAGGACTGCTCGATATTATTAGGTTGCAGTGATAGTGGATCTTTACTTTAGGCCATAATTTCTATAATAAGAATTGAAGGAGTAGAAATCGCTTTTGCACAACTATATATACTAAGTTGGAATCTACAACTCTCTATTTATTTTATTTACACATTCATTGAAATCTCCACCTTTTAGCAATTGAACAAGAAATATAACTAACAAAGGGAATAACCTTTATGATTCCAGGTTACATGAAACTTATTCACGTTTGAGTAATATTATTACATTTTGATAGCAAATCCTTATAAATATATCCACCACTTTGCGCTCCATCACTACATATTTTTCGTTTAAAGAAGTTGCATTGATCCATAATGTGACACGTTATTATGAATTTATTTGTGAGGACAAATTTGAAACTAAGACTCATACCAACCTCATCCAATCTGATCACTACCATATTAGCCTAGTGCAAAGGGTAATAATGTCCTTCGACATGTGGTTGAAATTTAAGGCCAATTTGTAAATGGTGAGTTGAGTTGTAATTAAAGGACCCAACAATCACGAACTCTTCTACGCCCTTTCTTATTGCAGTTGTTCTTCAAGGCATTGCTATCTTGTCGCTTCGCTCCAATTTTCCTGCTTCTTCTTCTGTATTTAGAAATTACAAGTTAGCTTACAATCAAATGTTCTAGCATTCTGCAAAATCTCTATACATGTTTTTCTCGTCATCAAGGATAGAAGAAAACCATATATCATAAACTAATAATTGGACTAAAAAATGATTTATTTCAGTTATGAAGTACAATTCTTGTTAATTATGTTGATACTCATTTAAGTTTAACCTCTTTTACTATAAATTAAAGGCAACATGCATAAATTATTAAGTTTTGGTGAAAATGAACAATGACTCGGAAAATGAATAGTTGAATAGCTTGCAAACATTCGTAGCATGCTCAAGAACACTCTGCTTAAGAAAAATTGCTCCTATGACACTAGATTGTTAGATACTTCTCTCCCAAGATAAGAACTCCGTTGCAACTTGTAAGTTAGCTAGTTTTTTAACCCAACAAGCTAAAAACATATTATTATGTGGCAGACTTCAAAAAATCAAATTTTCTATTTTAAAAAAAATAAAAAAAAATCAATACATATCCACACACACACAAAAAAAACCATATAAAAGGGCCAAAAATCCCATGACGTTTTGCATTGTAATGCATTACTATGAATGACAAATTGATCACTTTGCATAAAAAAAACTAAAAAGTAAAGAAGATTACCAAACATATGCTTAAGCTAGAAAAACATTAGACAAATCAAAATGTCATAAATGTGCTAAACAACGTGATTTATTTTAATTTTTATTGTATTGGTGTATTTTTAAGTCAATAAGTTGTCTTGTTAGCTCCTCTTAATGTTGTGTTTGGTTGGGGGATTTGGGGAGGGATTTGGAAAGGGAAAGGGAAAAGGTGTGTGAAACTAGGTGAAATGTAGGTACATTTTATTCACATTTCACCTAACTTTTCCCTTTCCCATTCCAAATCCCTCCTCAAATCCTTCAACCAAACACAGCGTAAAGGAAGCCTAATAGAGTTTCATAAACTATACAAGTCATTGCTCAAAGTAGTTAACATTTGGTGAAATTTAGTTAAAATAATGAAGAGTGCGTAATGTTTTGTAGTATATATTATGCTACTTCGTGTTGCACCATTTTATGTTCAAGTTTTATAAGTGCTTTTGTATTTGTTTGTATGTTTGCACAATTGTACGTTGAATGAGATAAACTAGATAATGTATAAACATGGTTTTTCATATTATTATTATTATTATTTTGCAATTTTAGACTCAATCAAAGAAACTGATTCATCAATGAAATGGTCAAAGAAACCGATTCATCCGTGAAATTTGATATATCATTCGTAAGTGATCAATAAATGCTCAACGTGGCAGTCAATTTTAAGCCGATCGTTGACATATATATTTGACCAACATCCTTAAACTATCCTCCCTTGACCTCATTTAGACATAAACTCTTCCTAAAATTGTTGAAACACACATTGTTAACTAGAAAATGGACTAGTGAACCCCTCAAGGTAAATTAATACTCCTATCCTAGTCACCTTATAGTTTCGTTCTTACCTTGTCGAACCCTTTTTATGGATTTATAATAATAGATATGTAATGTGTGATTATCTTTTGAACTTTAGTGCTATCACATCCCTCTCCCTCTCAAACTAATCAGGATTTGGGTCATATGAATTAAACTTTCACAAAAAAGTGAAAGAACTGCCTAACTAGTATTTCTTCCAAACCTTGTTATAATGGGTAACCTGATGGCTAAGTACATTACAACTTTACCCTTCTTTAGATAAAATTACTATGTAGAAGTTTTCTTCAATTTTTATTTTTCTTTCATGTTATGTCATATCAAACGAATGCTATAACTAAGCACACATACAAAATATATATTTTTACACATACATATGTATAGTTTATATATTAAGACATGGATCACTTGCATTATTTGAGATATGACCTCTAAGCGCACAAAGTAGTCATCACTTTGTTTGATCTAAAGAAACAATGAGTGTGGTGTGGTGGTGTACAAGTTTATGAGTTGCCCCAAATGTCCCAACCTGAATATTTAAATTCAAAGAAAGTGAAAAACCACTTTCGAGAATCTGTGGCTCATTTGACCAAAGATATGTGGGAAGAAAGTTGCCAATTAGCTAATTTGAAGAAAATAAAAGAAAATCATAATGAAGTTGTATTTTTTTTTTTTTAAAAAAAAAAAAAAAAAAGAAGTAAAAGTTGAAGAAAAAGAGAGAAGGGATGATCAATAAAAAGGTTTTGGTGGAGTGATTGGAGTTCTAAATTAGAAGTGGAAGAGGAGGAAAGAAAGAACTTCTAAAAGAATATAAATTCAAAGAAAAAATAATGAAAAAGATCGATTTATAGTACGCACCTTAGATCTCTCTAGTTGCGATGTGATACGTTGGAAATTATGATATGATGTGCTTGAAGTTACGGTGTGATGTAGTCAAAATTCTGATCCAACCACATTGGATTGTAACTTACAGAGTCATTAGTTATGATACAATATATTTGACTATAACCTCAAACATATCACATTGTAACGTAAAGCACATCATGTGCTGACTACAAGTGAGTATAGATTGTTATAAAAACAGTATAAAAATAAAAAATTGAGATATATATACGATTAAATTATGAAGTTTTTTAATTTAGATGTTCTATGATTAATCATGAAATTAATTGTAAAATAGGTTTTATATTGGTCCATATGATACAAGGAGTTTAATTAATTTTGGAAACAAAAATAGGATATTGGTTAAAACAATCCCAAAACAATAATCTACTTGTAATGATGTTTCACTTTATCAATTAAGTGAGATACAGATTATTTTAGGTAAATTTGTTAATGAACCATATGACCAAAAGAAGTATTTATTTTACAATTAAGTTTATAATCTAATTTTAGAGGATTTAGACTTTCGCACTTATGACTTTTGGTGTGAGTAACACGTTGCCCAAAACCACATAATTACATTATTTCATATCCTTTCGTATTTTATTTTATTCATATTTTGTAATCATGAACTTGACAAACAAATCTAAATAATGGATTGGCCCAATTTAAAAATTATCAGCATGGAAATAATGGTGATTGGAATTTTTTTAAACTAAAATTAAAATTTATATTTTAGAAATTGAGTCATAGTCGTATAATGGTCTTGAAGAATTCGGGAAATTTGAAAAAGTATGGTAATTATCTGTTATAGTAGGGAGAACAGGGGGGAAAAAAAAGAATAAAATCAAGTACACACAATAAATTCAAGATTCATTAAATTGATAATTAAAATGAGTAGGATAAATTGAGATTTTCAAAATGTCAAAAAATTTATTACTACAATTTTACAAATCGTCCAACATGAACCTATTCCGTCAACCCATTTCCTATCATTATATAAACTAAAAAAGTCACACTAGTGGGGGGAGTAATAAATGTCAAAATTATTATAATCTCAATGTAATTTTTTCACCTAGTCTTACACATTTATATATTTTAATATATTTTTTTAAACTTCCAAACTGATATACCCATTAAACAGAACTAGAGTAACTCTCTTATTTAAAAAAGAGGAGTTTACACAGATTTACTTAGTTTCCCTTTCTATCACAATGTTTGATACAGAACAGAAGGGTAAATATAGGGTTAATCTCTAAGCCCGTACCGAATTGAGACTAATCTATTACTAGATTTGAGAGAGGTGTTCATACCTTAGTCATGGATGGGTCTCTAAGAATGTTGAGTTGGCCTCTCCAACATTCCGAAATGGATTTCAGACAAATGTTAATAGAACCATATTTTTAGATTCATAAATTTATTTACAATAATGTGGCCTATTAGATTGATTAATCCGGAAAACTAATTTCACTGCTCTCTTATGGAGATCTCAACCTTGTATGGATTGATCCTACGAAATTGTTTGCACATAAAAAGTTATGAACTTGAGACTTTAAGAGCACACCTCAAAACCTGAGGCTAGCCCCTTGAGTCAAATTAAAAATTTACACCTACGATATCATATTATTGGGCTAAATTGTGGGAGCTTTTTGGGGAATCTCAGACATTTTCCTAAATTTTATAGGTGTTTTTTAGTCAAGAAGAAGAAGAAAATGATAAAGACATGTTTGAATCTTAGATTCGAGGGACTTAAAAAAAAAAAGAAAAAAGGGGGGCTATATTTCCCCCTCAAATCTCTTCAGTTTTCTTTTTTCTCAACAAATTCAAAATCTAAATATAACATAATTGATTGGTGAAATGTGTGAAATATGGTATCAATAGACTCAATACAACTATTCAACTATCTTCTCCTATAAAAATATATGTATACACACATAAGTTGTGTGCTGGGGAAAACAATGACATTAGAGAAAGAGAAAGACAGAAGAAAATAATAGAGCAGAAAATCATGGAGGTACAATTAGGGGTGTGCGCGGTGCGGGTCGGTGCGGTTTGAGAGAAAAATAGAAACCGTATGGCGGGTGGCGGATCGATAAAAGTGTCACTAGAATTTGCCATTTTCCTTATCAAAAACCGGCGGTTCGGTTGGCAAAAAATGGCGGATTTGCCTTGGCGGTTCGGGCGGATTGGCGGTTTATAAAAAATATAATTCAAATTACAAAACTTAAATCAAAGAGTAAAAAAAAGACGAGAGATACCGTGATGTTAAGCATCTTGCGAAATTTTCTTCTGATGCAGCAAGTGTAGCAACAACATGATAATATCAACGACTATGCCATCAGTTCATTACAAGCATCTGTGGAAGCTACAATGATCAAATACAATACATAAAATTCCCCTCGAGCAGTAATGTAATACTATATTCTAAGGTATAGAACAATAAGCAAACTTAAGTAAAAAAGAATTTTTAGAATCCTATAAAACATGATTTAATAGCGGTGCGGGTCGGTGCGGTTTGGAAGAAAAATAGAAACCGGCGGATTGATAAAAGTGTCACTAGAATTTGCCATTTTTCTTACCAAAAACCGGCGGTTTGATTGGAAAATAATAACGAATTTGCATTGGCGGTGCGGTTCGGTGCGGTTTTGGCGGTTTCGACGGTTTCGGCGGTATTATGCACACCCCTAGGTACAATGACTGTGGAAGGGGTTTACAGTGGCCTGCCAACACTCCATATTATATTGGATATGGGAGCAATATGATAATTGAAAATTAATTTTGTAACTTCAGAAATGATAATATTAACAAAATGAGATATGCTATGGTATATTATAAATAGTGTTTTATAAGCATAAGATATAAAATAAGAAACAAAGTTAAAATAATTTTTTTTTTTTGGAATTTTAGGGAAATAAAATATTCAAGAAGTGCATAACCAAATCCTCAGATGAGAAGCAATAATTAACAATGCCATTTAAGAAAAATCCGTCCCCAGTCGGTTCCTTATCAGAGGGGGAGAAAAATCCGTGCAAAATAAGACAAGTAGTAGAGCGGTAAGAAATTGTCATCCCCTACATCCACACTTTTTGTGAGAGCATCAGTTTTAACAACAAAATGAGCTCATTTCATTATTAGTATGAGTAAAATATAATTGCAACAATTTTCTAACAACATGATAAATAGCAAAGATGAGATACAATTGAGGCCAGTTTGTAATGCGCATGATGTGCATCTCATCATTTATGATGCAAAGTATTCTAATTATATGGTGTTTTGAGAAATTAGTTCCGAACACATACTGTTTGATATCCGATCAACTTATTTTTTACAGGTATAATATACTTAATAAATTTTAAAATGTGAACAATTCTAATCATCGAAATTGGGCCAAAAAATAGACCCAATAACTCAGCAAGTAGGGAGTTAAGGACAGAAATCAAAGAGAGGATTTCAAAAAATTGATTTTTTTGTGACTTTTTGTGTAAAAAAAACTAGAAAGCAAACTTTTCCAAATTGCCCCTATATTATAATATGTGATGTAATCAAAATTATGATAATAATTTTCCACATTGCTAATCATAATTTTGAATTACAATTTACGAAGAATAATAAATTTATAACAAATAAAAAATTGACATATAACTTGTAATATCATTACCGGTAAATTAAGAAAGACTTACGAGTCAAATTTTAAAAAAAGAATATAAGTATTTAGTTGTAATGTATAAATTGTGCAACACGATGTGAGTAAAATTAATAAATATTTGGTCGTATAATTTCAATTATAAAATTAAGGATAAATTACAAATATATTCTATAAAATTTACTTAAAATACGAATTGCCTCTTATGATTTGAAAAATTACAAATACCTCTCTGTCAAAAATTTTTATTTAACAAAATTAATTTAAAAAATAAAAATTCTAACTGTTCATATATACAATAATAAAATATTTGAATTATTAATTGAAATAAAATTTTAATATTATTAAAAATTATTAATTAACTTGATGATTTATTAATAAAAAGACCTATTTGTTATGAAATTAGAAACCTTAAAAGGCATAATATAATTTTTAGAACCATACGGAATAATTTGCAATTTAAGTAAACCTTAAAAAGTGTGTTTATAATTTACCCTAAAATTAAATAAGTCTTCACCATTACTAATTCAGATGGAGGGCCTCCAACTAAATCATTCGAATTGAAATAGAATATTTTAGGAACTAAATAAATAAAATTAATAATTTAAAAGCAAAATATAAAAAAATAATAGTAATAATTTAAGAATTAGAATTAAAATTAAAATTAATCTATAAAAGTTACAAGAATTACAAAAATACAAGTGTATAAAATCACAATCAAGGTGTACACTATAAACACGTAAAATGGAGTGTCTGCTCTAAATTTGACCTCAGATGTGACATTCACGAAGACCACTCCCCACACAAGCGTCAGCTATAAGCTAAGTATCTTATCCAAAATAAAAATACAACAATAATAAAATAGAATCAGATGCCAAAATATCTCAGGCCTAAAGGTTGTCGAATCGAATCATCAAGGCCAGGTGTGGGTGCAAATACACTTTGGATTGGATTTGCCCCTCCTTTAGGAGTGTGTAGAAAGCATCCAATCCAATCCAATCCAACCCAAGAGGTTAGCTTTGTGCCGATGCGACAGAGAATCCTATACTATACCAAACGAATCAGTGACTATCACTCCATTAGAATAAAATAAACTATCGTCTCAACATGCAAGCTATCTGACAAAAATCATTTATTTTAAGGTTTAGCCAACGCGCTATCTCAAATTTTATATTCCATCTTTATTGATTTTTAAGAAAGATTTCACGCGCTCTCTAATTCTTTAATCTCTCTTTTCTTCCCATGTTAACAATATCACCGAGTGTGGTGTGAGGTTCACTCTCACTCTACTCTATTACAAGTAAACTATTTGGGGTTTCTTTTTTGAAAACACAAAAACACAACTCACGACGTGGGTTATAGAAATAGAACAGGCTGGCCAACTAACTAATCACAATTAGCAACTGCATATCTTACCAACCAACACGATTTATTTAACTAGACCAGTGGTAATGAGGGACCGAGCCATCTCAGACAAAGGGTTTGGTAGGGAGGAGAGAGAGTTCATCTAATATGGTTAACCATTTCAAATACTGTCAAAAGATGAGGTTATACTCATAAACCATGAAAACTACCGAGGCAGACAAGAAATGGAAAACTAAAAATTGAAATATTAACAAAATTAGTCACCCATAAGCAAAACCATCCAAATTCTCCCAATTGTTCTAGGTTCTCATAATATAAAGCATATGTTAGAAGAAAATACCAGATGTGAGATGAAAGGAATAATACTAACAACCCAAACTAAAAGCAAGAGACAGAGCAAACAAGCAAATACTAAAAGAGCAGGCACTACAGAACAATGCAAACAAGTAAACAGACAAACATCCAAGGAGAGCCAATAATACCAAATGAACACGTCCTAACCAGAAACAGAAATCTCATTTTGTTTTTGTTTTTTTGTTTTTTTTGTTTTTTACTTTTGAAATTTTAGTGTTGGGTAGATTGGTCCTCACTTGGCCATCATGACCTTGACGAATTCCTCGTAGTTGATCTGCCCATCACCATCCACATCAGCCTCACGAATCATCTCATCCACTTCCTCATCTGTGAGCTTCTCACCAAGATTTGTCATAACATGGCGGAGCTCAGCAGCAGAAATGAAGCCATTCTGGTCCTTGTCAAAAACCCGGAAAGCTTCCTTAAGCTCCTCCTCAGAGTCAGTATCCTTCATCTTCCGGGCCATCAGGTTGAGGAACTCTGGGAAATCAATTGTCCCATTTCCATCAGCATCAACCTCATTGATCATGTCCTGAAGCTCAGCTTCTGTTGGGTTCTGTCCCAAAGACCGCATCACTGTGCCAAGCTCCTTGGTGGTGATACAACCTACACATTTAAAGACAATTTCAAACAATATCAGTAAAACATCATGGCCATGCGAACAACTTTTTAAGCAATGGAAACATATATGGTAAAGCTTCCAAGCATCCAGATAGCAACAAGATATGGAAACACAAAACAGTAGCATAACACTATACTCCTTTAGGGGAAAAAAAATGCAAGTGGTACAAAAGAAAACAGAACAATAAAATAAGTTCCAAGGGCTCAAGTACCAAATAACACTGCCACATTAGTTTAATGAGTATCACAGCTCAAAGATTCTTTGTGATGATGGAGAGGATACAAATTGATATAATACAAATCATTGGGGCAACGTCCCCAACTTGAATGCAAATATACAAAATACAATATGATGTGTAAATGCAATTCGCAAGCTTCAATCACCAAGCAACATTGTTAAACCTTTAAAAACCACCACAGCTCAGGAACTTTTCATGATGATGATGAAAATACAAACAGCAATAGAACATACAATTAATTCTGTGGTTTACCCATTTAACTACAACATTTAAAAACGCAAAATCGTTGCAAGATCTTCCATATAGAAATCCTTGCAATTTATTGAAGTGTACCCAATTCAACTCAATCCGTAGAATCATTGCAAGATTTGGACAGAGACATACAAATTTAGGGAGCAGACAACTATAGAATGGATAATAGACAAATTGTATGAAACTAGAATCATAACAATCAAATATGAATTTCTCTAATGAAAGATCATAGCCGGGGCACAACTGCTGACGGATCGCCATCACCCACAGAAGCCCCAGATTTAACCGGAGCCTAATGCATAAATGAGAACTTTGAACAACAAAAAGATGTTCCGCTACGTATATTACACAGTAACATCAAATTTTTACAATTAATCAACTATCCATAGATCCAACTGATCATCCACATCAAAAAACACTCAGCAGCAAAATAACACAAGCACAAAAAGGTCTAAAAGCCTCTCAGGCAGAGAGATTACAACAATCAGCAAATAATCAAGCCTCGAATCAAATCAATTTGATTGGGTAAGCAATCACAACATAACATCGAAATTTCGCATGATTGATACAGATCATGCACTAACCCTACACCATCAATCAATCAAACGCAACAAAACGACAATCTGAAACGACCCAGGGAGATAAAAATGTGTGTGATGCGAATATCAACGACAAAAAGCCCTAAAAATGAGGCAACAAAGAGTCGAAGAAAGGGAAATAACATCATTCAAGATACAGATCTGAACAAAACGAAAGATCAGACAATAAATCATATTCATACGTGAATATATATATATATATATATATAGAGAGAGAGAGAATCTGACCATCGCCGTCCTTGTCGAAGAGGCTGAAAGCTTCCTTGAATTCGGAGATCTGGTCGTCGGTAAGCTGATCGGCCATTTTGCTTGGCTAGCGAGAAATTGAGAGAAAACGAAGGAAAATTGGGAAAGAGAGAAATGGTAAAGAAGAAATACGGTCTAATGTAAAGAGGTTTGTGGGTTTGTGGTAATAGAAGGATACAAGTGTTGTACATATATATATACACGGAGAGAGAGGAGAGTCATGTATATATATCAAACGTGGGAACTGGTCCAAGGGCATCTGATGCTCTCGGGAGCATCTATCTATGCACATCACTCTCCCTTTATGTAGATTCTTCGTACATAACTTTTTAACACATTTTTTTTATTAAGTATGTGAAAGAGGGGATATGGTGTGTGCATAGGAGTGTGCATAATATTGTCGAAATCGTTAAAATCGTATCGAATTGTATTGTTAAGGTAAATTCGTTATTATTTGCCAATCGAATCGTCGATTTTTGATAAGAAAAACGTCATATTCTAGTGACACTTTTATCAATTCGCCGGTTTCTATTTTTCTTCCAAACTGTACCGACTCGCACCGCTATTAAATCATATTTTATAAGATTCTAAAAATTCTTTTTTACTTAAGTTTGCTTGTTGTTCTATATCTTAGAATATAATATTACATTACTGCTGGAGGGGAATTCAAGATGTCAGTAATCCAAAATAAAGTTGGATTCCAATTCACTTTTCAATCTTTTTTTTTTTTTTTCCTGGCCATGTTGCAAACTTGCATCAGCTCACTTTTCAACCTAAATACTTTTCAACAGTAAACATTTTCAATATATTTTAAACTTTGAATAATATTAATTTTATGTATTGTATTTGATCATTGTAGCTTCCACAGATGCTTGTAATGAACTGATGCATAGTCGTTGATTTTATCATATTGTTGCTACACTTGCCGCATCAGAAGAAAGTTTCACAAGATGCTTAACATCATGATATCTCTCGTCATTTTTTTACTTTTTGATTTAAGTTTTGTAATTTGAATTATATTTTTTATAAACCGCCAATCCGCCCGAACCGCCAAGGCAAATCCGCCATTATTTACCAACTGAACCGCCGGTTTTTGATAAGGAAAATGGCAAATTCTAGTGACATTTTTATCAATCCGTCACCCGCCATACGATTTCTATTTTTCTCTCAAACTGCACCGACCCGCACTGTGCACACCCCTATGTGTGCATATAGAAGCTCTCGATACTCTCTCTCTGTCTCTCTCTCTACGCGAATCCACCTTTCTTTTTACCATATTGCCCTTTTCACTTTTCTTTCCCATCTCAATATTCCTTTCTTTAATGGGGTTTAACACTTATTTGGCATGGATGGGGTTACTTTAATCATAAAAAAATAAAATAAAATAGATTTTTTAGTTTCAAGTTAAAAGTTAATTACATCAAAATCATATTTGTGGTTTCTTTTTTCGACACGTGTTGACTGTGATTTTTTTTTTTCCTTTTCAATCTCATATTCGTGATTCTTTTATCCGGCACTTGTTTTTATATTAAAAAGATTAAGCTTAAACAAAATATATACTTGGAATTCTATCATATTTAAAATTTATATGAATAATTAATTGATGATTTTAAAAGATAAAGTAAAGTTCAACAGAAAGATAAACTTTGAAAAAATTAAGCTGAAATATATAGAAATCTATAACAATCAAGTTCAAATAGAAGATAAACTCCAAGAGAGAGGGCGTTCTGAAGAAAATAAAATTTTAAGTTCAAATTTAAAGATAAAATAAGATATACATGAAAAAATAGAATAAATTAAATAAAATTTCAACTTTGAAATTTAGATCTTATCTATAGGCTATGAAATTAATTTCCATTGGAAAATTAATTTAACAATTAAAAAATGAAGTAAAAAAGAAAACAAGAAAGACAATAAAAGAGGATTGCTAAGTAGAAGAGAGAAATATTAAAATTATAAAAATTTAAGAATAATAATTTTAAATTTTTTTAGAACACACTACATTTGCTTATATATATATATATATAGTGTAGTATAGATTGAAAAATATTTTATTTAAATTTTATTATTTAAATTTTTTTAATTTTTAATCTATGTGATAGAGGGAGAGGAAAAATCGGAATAAATCAAAATAAAGATTTAGATACAAATGTTTTTTATAGATATAGATTAACAAATCATATCTTTATCTAAATTTCGTAATTTTAATTTTTATTATATTAAAAAATTAAAAATTAGGGAGATGAGCTAGGGAGATTTCAAGAATTGCCACATAGGAGAGGGAATTTTAACTTTCCTTGAAAAATTAGTATTGAGATTTTGGAGAGTTTTGAAAACACACTACATTTGTTCACTACAAGAAATTAAAGTTTTAGAGACAAATTTTTAGGAACAAAAATATTTTGTCTTTAAAAATTATACTTTTAAGGACAAAATAAAATAATTTTAAAAAATATTTAATCCTACTACTACATTTTTAAGACAAAGTTATTTGGTTGCAAAAAGGTTACTGACTTTTTGCCTACAACTTTAGTTGGTCTCTCATAAACTTACTCATACATTATTTTATTTTATTTTATTTTCATTCTTTGAGCTTCAATAATCGAGATTTCATTTCTTTCTCCACACCACTGTCTCTCTCGATCGATCGATCGATCGATCGAATCCCTAAATCTTGATCGATTGAATCGATTGTCTATTAGTTTGATTCTTCGAAGCTGAAGCTAAAAAGGATTGAAAGAGGAAAAACAATACTGATTAATCATATACTTGAACTGTCATTGAAGAGAGATAGGTCGATTTTAAGGTAAAATATTTGTATCCATAGACTTGAATCGCCATTGAAGAGAGATAATTCACAGCTCATGAGTGATTTTGATTTGATTTGATTTTTTTTTTCTTTTGTGAGACTCTAATGATTTGAAACGATTTTTGATTTTTGATTGTTTGTTTGCATTATAAGTGTTTTCATGACAGATTCCTTACAAATTGTTCATCTCTCTGCTAGCTCTGTCAAATTCCTGTTATTGTTTTCTGATTTTTAATCGTAATTGTTTTGATAAATTCCTTACTACATATGTAGTGGACTACTACAAATGTGCAACTAAACTAGTTGAAGCATCAATGATGGCATAGTCAAATCTTTGGTCCAAACGTATGTCGTTACAAATTTTGGGGTACAAGCAACGTTTAAAATTATATAATTGACGCTAACTGTACAAATACACACACAGTGAGTACTACACAATTTTAGACCATTACTAATGTTGGGCTGTTAGCAATTAATTTAAGTATACTATTGCCGTTACTCAGTCAAAATAATTACGCAGTGGAAGATTACAAAATTAATGTTTACCCGTCGCCATCGAAGTTATAAACTTTCTCGAGCAGCATTGTTTTGTCATCTATGAGCATGGTCCACACGGCATGCTTCTTGGTCATTCCAAACCTGTGCCACATTTTGTGCTCAACTCCTACATCCTCAACGTCGTATATTACTTCCGGACCCACTGCCTTCTTCGTGCCCATTTTCCAATTTTGCTTGCCACGACACACAAACTTCGGGTACTCGTAGTCGGTAAGTCTGAATCACATCGTTCCTTGCTCTTTATTCTTCTCACCAAGGACATCATCTTTGGGCTGGGACTAGTACCTCCCCTCACCCCATTTCGTCCGAACTAACAACATCTAGGACAATAACGCTGTCTGCTGTGGACTCGACTTTCTTCGCGCGCTCCCTTTCGAAGAAACTCGAATTGGTCCTCTAGTTCGGACTCCTGTCATGGTTTCGAATCTAATCTCACAAAGTGCAATGTGAGACTGATAAACACCAAAGAGTCCAATCCCGCAAATCATTTTGAAAAATTAGATTTTGAATCAAATAATGCCAAAACTGGATTGCTTTGCCAGATTACAGAGTTGCCACTTAAATATTTTATTTTTGAAAAATTTAGGAAACCCTGACTCGTGCCAAAGGCCACGTGTCCGTCATCACCAAAATTGCCTCGGCTCGGGAACTTGTGTACGAGAGGGGAAGGTCATGAAATGAGCACCCCCGCTCGCCCGATCAAAGGATCGGCCTCTACTAATCATGATATATTATTTTATAAACCTCATGTGTTCTTATCTAGTTATTAGCTAACTTTACTATGTGATGCACACATACAAGTATAGACTAAAATCGTGAGAATTGGAACAAAACAACTCATTTTTATTTTCGAAAATGGTTTGAAGGTGCCACTCTCAAGTGGGCTAAAACGTGGATTTGCCACCCTCAGGTGGGCTTAAAACATGATTTTGCCACTTTGCAAAGTGGGCTTAAAACTCACATTTATCAAATTGTTCCAATTCAAGCAACCAAGCCTTCACCTACAGGCACTCATGCAGTTTAGCAAATAAGCACATAGCCTCATGGCAGGCATGCGAAACATGGCAACACTCACACTCATGCAAGTATGCTAAAGCATAAAACTTACAGTGTACTTCAGGCCAAAATAAAAGCTAGTTAGAAAAAAATGCATGATTCCTAATTATACAAGATGCCTAATGCAACACATGCAAAAATGCAACTAAATAGGCTCGGCTATCTAAGATGGCATATGAATTAACAGCTTGATAACATGTTTTGAAACACGTATTCAAGTAAGTATTGAAATACTATGCAGTTTGAATGATGCGCCAAGCCTCGGTGCATGCAAGACAAATGAATGATGCAAACATGCAAAGCATAAGGTATGCTAATTGAAAATGACCCTAAACTAACCATCGAAAGCAGTTAAGTATAAGGAAGAAAGACGTGGGGTTGGAAGACATGCATACGCACACATACACATGCACACGCACACTTATTACAACATTATGCCCTCGCGAAAGAGGGTCCAAATGAATAATTAGCAAAGCTACTCTAAGCTAAGCTAATCAAACTAATCTAATTAAACTAATTAGACTAATTATTACAACACTTAACTAATCAGCAAACTAATTAATTAAATTACAAAACCAATGCACACTAAACATATAAAGCATTAACTACACTGCCTCAGCTCTGCTTTAGGAAGTTGAATATGCACGCACTCGGTTTTCGCCCCAAAAAGCCCACCGGTTTGCTCTCGAGAGACTCTGTTTGCAGGGTTACTCCAGGAACTTTTTGTTCCACCTTACCAAACCAATGCTGAGGATTGCACCAGTGGCCTGTTGGCCATGAA